GATTCATTGGTTCAACTCCTCATTGCTTCATTCACTCACTGATCTCTTGATTCGTTGAATCGTTGGCTCATTGATTCGTTGATTCCTTGACGATTCACTGATTCATTGATTCGATGATTCCGTTGTTCATTAGTTCACTGGTCTTTTGATTCATTGGATGTCATTGAGTGTCCTGCCTCTTTTTTTGTTTCACTGATTCAGTGATTCAATGAAATTCGGTTCATTAACTCACTGATTTCTTGATTCGTTGATTCACTGCATGGTTCGTCCATTCATTGGTTCATTGGTTCGTTGATTCATTGGTGCATTGTTTCCTTGATTATTTCATTGTTTCATTGCTTCTTTGCTTCATTGGTTGTGATTCGGTGGTTGGTTGATTCAATTCCGCGTTGCTTCATTGATTCGTCGATTCATCGGTTCATTCAATCCGTTGTGTGTTATTCTTTGTTGGTTCAGTTGTCATCTCAATTATCATCTTCTCATTCTTTGGTGCACCTCACAACTTCAACAATAGGCCATTGATTTCTGATATCCTGTTTTTTTTCCGAAACTTTCGCTCCGGCATGGCCGAGCACTACCTGGTATACATGTATGTATCATGAATGGAGTTTAAAACTCAGCTAAAATTTAATAACTAAATATGTTTGGTAAAGAACACCTCGCTTGGACCTATGAACAGTATGGCAATATGGCAACAACCTGTGCCTCCCATCGCTCACCCAGGTGCATAACCTTCTGACACTTGGATTCTTCAAAAGTTGCTTAAAGTACTCATATAAAAGCGCATGTGCACCCAGGTAAAGCTGGAAGGTTTGCCTTGGGCAGATAGGTGTTGCAGTGTTGCAATCCATTAACCAATGCAGCTGCGCCAGACAGAGTAAAATTGTATATATTGTTCGACTTTGAAACATGGCCGGTGGCATCCATGACTGTCGTGGTTGAAGGCTGTGATGTCGTGGCATACACAGAGTCTGTCTAAGCAACATGAAGTGGACAACCAAACTGCCCACGCGCCTGGGGGCCCGGTCTGGAGGTAACATGTTGATTAAGAATGATATAGGATAATTAAGGTACTGGTGGACTAGCGCTTATCGTAATAGTGTACCCAGTATCAGATTCTCTGTGACTGAAAAATAAGTACTGTATGTCATGGCAGCTCTGCTATTCGCACGCGTCTCACACAGCCTGTTGCTGAGAGTCAGCGGAATCAGGCTCATTCTGACTGCCAGTACCACTTTTTCCATCAGGATTCGCAAACAAACATCGGGAGAGATGGGACAACAGAAGAGCAAGTTCGTGCTTTCCACAGCTTACTAAAACTGCACTCCGATTTTGAGTTTATATTATTTTATGTTTCTTCTACACTCGTTGCAGATTTTGATCGCCAAGAATCAAATTGAAGTGGTCTAAAACATACAAGCTGAGCCCAGCTGTATGCAGAAAACCAAAAGATCCAAAAGACTCAGAAACCATCAGAGACCTATGGATGGTGGCACCACTGGTGGACTGCTGCTGTTGTAGCACTTGTGGCCAATTCTGAGTGGCGGGCTGTGGCTGCTGTGGCTGGAGGCGTTGGATCCGCTGCCACAATGCCTCCTAGATCTTTGACCGCCCATGCGGCCCATGCGCATGATCCTTATTGCATGGCAGCAAGTTGTACCAAATTCATTGCGGTGAAACAAGGCTGGTGTGGATTTAGGTTTCAACAACCTGATGAAATGAATGTTGAGCTCACAGTTTCCTGAACCATCTTCGTCCATGTGCAGCTTGTAAACTGAAAGCAACTGCACAGGTGCTGGCGCACAAACACAAACACATTCAATCTTCTTAATGTCCACAATTGTACATCGCCCAGGAAGAGCCGAGTAAACATGCTCGAATGATTTCTTCATACCAACCTAGACTCGTATGGATGAACATCAGGTCCGATCAGTGTTCTATAAGCTACTGACAAATGACCAGTGTAAGAACTTCAGAAGAGTTGGTGGATCTGCTCAAAGGTCACTGTTTAGACCTGACAATAACCTCGAAGGATGAATCTGCAAAGGCATGCGAAAACCAAAAGAGCCTCTAACTTATTGTGTGACGAAAACACGACAAGGCCTGCCGCCAAAAAAACAATGACAGTCGTCGATTCTGAAAACGACGGGAAAGTCCCCACAAACATATCACGCTGGTAAGGAGAAACTCGTGATACTTCGCAGATCAAAATAAGAAGACTCTACTGAGGCCATGAAGGTACGAAAAATCAGGTTGCGCAACTCATTTTCAAAGAAACAAAAATCACCACTTCTGCAAACAAAAGGTTTCAGTTCTGGAATATAATTCCTGGCCAAGGTGCAGTTTTTCCAACCGAAGAAACTTGTCCTGCTCAAGTCTTGGTCCAAGTTCGGCATTTTTTCCAAATAAAATGCCCGGGACACCAATTCTAAAGCTACAACCCAAGACTTCAAGACCAACTTTTCAGATTTCCCTGTTTTGATCGTGTCAAAGGAAAAGTGACACCATTAGTAAAAACTGTTGCACCTCTTTGCCGTCGCAGTAGTTCGAATGAGCCGTCGCAGTAGTTCGAATGAAACATGTGATTAGGACATCCAATGCTGGAAATGGGTATTCGATCTCAGCATCGTGCTCAGATCTGCATTTCGTATAAACCAGTGTTTGGGTTTTCACAAGGAGATGATGTGACAAAACTTATCTGCAGCTCTTGACCAAAAGAACACATATCATATGGTTTCGACCAGGGTAAGAATCTAGGAACTGCCACAGCCAGGCCACAGCCAAGCCACACCCAGGCGGCCACAGCCAGGCCACAGCCAAGCCACAGCCAAGCAACAGCCAGGCCACAGCCAAGCCACAGCCGACCCACAGCCAAGCCACAGCCAGACCCCACACCCACCCAAGCCACAGACAAGCCACAGCCAAGCCACAGCCAAGCCACAGCCAAGACACAGCCAGGCCACAGCCAGGCCACAGCCACGCCACAGCCAGGCCACAGCCAGGCCAGCCAAGCCACAGCCAGGCCACAGCCACAGCCAGGCCAGCCAAGCCACAGTCAGGCCGCAGCCACAGCCAAGCCACAGCCAAGCCACAGCCAAGCCACAGCCAAGCCACAGCCAGGCCACAGCCAGGCCACAGCCAGGCCCCACAGCCAAGCCACAGCCAGGTAAAGGCAGGCCACAGGCAAGCCAGAGCCAGGCCACAGCCAGGCCCCACAGCCAATCCAGCCAAGCCACAGCCAGGCGGTCACAGCCAAGCCAGGCCACAGCCAAGCCCCCAACCAAGCCACACCCAGGTCAAAGGCGAGCCACAGCCAGGCCCCACAGCCAAGTCCCACAGCCAGGCCCCATAGCCAGGCCCCACAGCCAAGCCAGCCAAGCCACAGCCAGGCGGTCACAGCCAAGCCACAAAGCCACAGCCAAGCCACAGCCAGGCCACAGCCAAGCCACAGCCAAGCCACAGCCAGGCCACAGCCTGCTTGTAGTTCTGGCCTCTCCTCGTCTGTCACTGCTTCTGGTTCTTCCGGCCAAGGCTTCTCAGATGACGTTGTGCCGCCGTATCGCTTGATCCGATCCACCTAGAGCTGGAGCGAAGGAGTAAAAATAAAGAGCATCGAAGAGAAAAGTATGTTTCCACATCAAGACACCAGCATTCGGAGGTTTTATCGTTATTTCATGTTATTTCATCGTTTCATCATGTTTCATCTAGAGAGGCCCCCGTACGGCCCCTGTTGGATGGCTGTTTGACCCCGAAAACAGCTCCAAAAAAAAACACGAAAGATTGTAGAAAAGCGGACTCCGGGATTTTGAAACCGATAAAACAAGGTGCGCGCTTCAACAGCTAAAACTTTGAGTGCAGGACAGGTGTAGGATTTACCTCAGAGCTACTGAGGTAGCAAAACCGTTGGAATTATATGAAGAAGCTGGGCGATTTTCAGGCATCAAGTGTAGTTGGGAGATGCTGCGAAGTGAGAAAGCACAGAAGCTTTATATATATATATAGAGTAAATATTATCAAAGGAAGTTTCATGGAGGAAACTCCGAGTTACGGACTTTCACATTCTCACTAGCCCAAAGATCATTGTGTCCAGTTGGCACCTGCATTAAGAGATCATGAAGTCACATTCCAACTAACCAAAAGATCATTGTGTCCAGTTGGCACATGCGCTTAGAGATCATGAAGTCACATTCTCACTAGCCCAGAGATCACTGTGTCCAGTTGGCACCTGCGTTTAGAGATCGTGAAGTCACATTCTCACTAGCCCAGAGATCATTGTGTCCAGTGGGCTCCTGCGTGAAGTAGAGTCGAGGTAGAGTAGAATAGAGGCAGGGTAAAGGTAGAGTAGAGTAGAGTATACATAGTAGAGAAGTGGAGGGCAGAGTATAGCAGAGGAGCGTAGAAGAGAAGCGATGAGTAGAGCAGGAGTATAGAGTAGAGGTAGCGTTGAGTAGAGAAGAGTACCCTGAGCATCGCACATTGATTAGAATCAATATTTTGATGCTCTGAGATATTGATTTTTTTTGACACTCAAAGATCACGTGTTTTCTCTTTTTTTTCTGGATTCTATCTTGATTTTTTTGATTTTCATCTTGATATGTTTCTTGATTTCATTTTTTGTAATCTTGATTTAAATCTTTATAATTCTTGTTTTCTCTCCTTACCTTTTCTGACCTATCTGGATCTCTCATTGGCTGCTTCATGTGTGCATATGGTTGACATGTCCACCACCCATACATGCAGTTTTGGCTCTAAGTTTGCTTTTGTCGCTTAGTTTTGGAACCTTGCAAAAGTCAAGGCCCAGGTCTTGGACAAGGTCCGAGTCCTGGAAAAGGTCCAAGTCTTGGAAAAGGCCCAAGTCTGGGAAGGCTTTGGAAAAAGCCAGGCCAATGTCCAGGGGAGGACCCAGACATGAAGCCAAACCTCTGGTGGATGTTGGCTTGGCTTTTAAGTGCTTGGAAAAGCACAAGGATATCCTACCTGACCTGGGGGCCTGTGAGCATATGTGCTCCAGCTCTGGACCCAATGCTAAGGCTTTGCATGCCACCAGGAAGCTATGGACAGGGTTGTTGGATCTGGAGCCAAGTGGCATGATCCACAGCCAGCCACTGAGACACGCTCTTCTGTCTTTGTTGGCAGAGAACCCAGATATAAACCTGGGGGAACATACTGGGCTGGTGTGGGTCAATTTGAAGGTGGAGAGGCTGAACTGCCTCCTGGCACATGTCAGGAAACTTGGCAAGGACAGCAAAGCTCTCATGCCTGTGGCTGCCAAGCTCACCAGGGGCCAGTACCATGAATTGCTGGTGGGCTTGAAAAAGCTCAAAATGCCTAACAAAACAGAGCTGGCCCTGGTGCCAGTGACAGCACCAAAAGAGGAGCTTGGAAAAGCACCTTCTGCTAAGAGCAAAGCAGCCACAAGTTGGAAAAGCATCACTTCAAAAAAAGGCCCATATGCTTGGAAAAGCACCAGCATCTGCCAAGGCCAAGCTTGGAAAAGCCAAGCCTAGCAAAGATGCAGGGAAGCTTGGGAAAGTTGGCAAGGAGGCCCTTGGAAAAGGTAAAAGAAAGCTGGCTCCCATAATCAGTGATGTGAGCTTGGACTCTGAAGGCTTCCCTGGGATGTTCAGCAGCCCCTCCAAGAAAGCCAGAACTGCATCTTCCTCCCAGGTGATGTGCCTGAGGAGAGCAAGTAGCAGGTTGCATGCAGCCATGGGCTATGGTTTGGAAAAGCCAAAGCCCAAGACTAAGGCAAAACCTGCCAAAAAGCCTGCCTCATGCCTTGGAAAAGGCAAGAGCAAGCCAGGCAAGGCCCTGGCTGATGAACCCAAAGAAAGGGAACCTTGGGTTGATCTCAAGCAAACAGATGCTAACAAGCCCCAGCCAAGATCTTACCTTCAAGGTAGGGTGGAGGGTGGCAAACTGCATCTCATTGTTGAGGTGGCTCAGAATATGCCCACCCACTACCTTGCCATTATTGGTAAGATCAGGTGTGCCTTGGAAAAGGGCAACCTGACAAAAGCTGAAGCCTTGGCCATGAGGAAGGACCTCTTGGAAAAGTACAGTCCATAGGCCTTGGCACATGTTCTTGGAAAAGGACATGCAACTTATCCTTGGAAAAGGGCAACCCTGTTCATGGAAAAGGGCATGCATGCCCTTGGAAAAGGGCCAAGTGCAGCTGAAGTGCATCAGCAGTTTTGAAAGGAAAAAGGTAGCTGCTGCTGCTTCTCTACTGGGTGGGTAACTGGTTGTATAGTACTGGCTAGGAACCTGGTAGCTAGTGGGGGCCACAGGGTAGCTGCATGCTTGTTGATGTTGAATGCATGTCTGCAGCCATGCTTGAGCAGGTTACATGCATGACCATGTCACCACACATGCTGCTGCTACATGCACACACACACAACTTGCACAGCACAGCACACAACTTGCACAGGCATACACATGCTCACCAACAACAAAAGTCGGCAAGAAAACAGCAACCACTATAACACAACTTTGTAACTACACTTCACAGTCAGCACATACAACTAAAATACCACTTGTAGCTTGTTGCTGTTGGTGGGCTTGGAAAAGCTCTGCTGCTGAAGCAAGGCTTTGGGTTTGGAAAAGCCTGGTCCCGGAGACTGGGTTTGGAAAAGCCCAAGGGGTTGGAAAATCTCCCCTGAACTGGAAAGTCTTGGAAAAGATGGACCAGCCTGAAGGGCCCCCCAACAAAAAGGGGAGGAAGTCATGGGACCACTTCCCAGGCCAGGAAGGAAAGGAGGAAGGGGATGCAGTGGTCAGCCTTGGAAAAGGCAGACCCAACTGACCCCACTGTCCTGGCCAAGCACCTGGAAGCCTTGGAAAAGGCAAAAGCAAGGTGCCAGGAGAGGATGGCAGATGCTGTTGCCAAGAAATTGGAACAGCTCTCCACCTCTGATGAGCCCAGGGCAGGGGGCACCAAGCACAGGGGCAAGAGTGGCCAGCCAAGGAAGGCTGTGCTCACCCCTGCTGCTGCTGCAAGCTCTTCTTCTGGCTTGGAAAAGCCAACAGCCACCTTGGAAAAGGAAGGCAAAAAAAAGAAGAGCAAGCCTGCCCAGGACTTGGAAAAGTCCAAGCCCAAGGATTTGGAAACGTGCCAGGGCAGCACCACCCATGGCAGTGCCACCAAGGGCTTGGAAAAGCCTGTGGTGGTGGTTGACTGGCACAACACCTTGGAAAAGGATGATGTTGTGAGCCAGGACAACCTGGCAGGCTTGAAAAAGCTGCAGAGTGATCCTGCTCTCTGCAGTGGACACTGCCACAAGGAAAAGGCAAGTCCTGGTGGACATGGATGCCATGATCCCAGACCACATTCACCAGCAGGGTCTTGGAAAAGAAACCTGCTGGATGAAATGTGGTGAGGGTGGGAAGGCAGATCTTGCCTGGCAGTGGGATGCTGTTGCCATTTTTGATGACAATTGGCAGATCTGCCAGGAATGTGAGGCCTGGGGCATTGATGCTTACCAGGTCTCACAGAAGAAGGCAGCCAAGGGGGCCTTCCCCACCTTTTGGAAAGCTGTGGGTGCTTTCCTGGTGGGGGCCAAGGCTCAGTAGTCTTGGAAAAGACTGCTGGGCCCCTGGTCTTGGAAAAGGCTGGCTGCACCTGGCAGAAGGGCTTGGAAAAGCATAATCCCACATGGGCTTGGAAAAGCCCAATGCCAAATTGGCTTGGAAAAGCCCAGCAAGGTCATTGGCCTGGAATAGCCTTCAATGAGAGGCAGGGCATGATGGGCTTGGAAAAGCTCAAGCAACAAACAAACATGGATTGGGCTGCAGTGATTTAAATATATATATATATATATAATAATATAACTATAATAACATATAAATATATAAATGCCAAAACACATCTTACCAAATTGTACCCTTCTGTGTTTGAACAAAAAACTTCATGAAAGAAATGTGATAGTCTTTTGTTGTTTCTTGGTTTCACTGCAGCCCATCCATGTCTGTTTTTTTGCTCAAGCCATTGTACAGTGTACAGTCAGCTGGGGCTTGCAGCTGTTTTTAAAAAGACTGGCTGGCAAACACTGCCAGCTGGTCACAGACTGACATAAATGAACAAAATAATTCAAATAGAAAATAGGTTAAATAAATTCAATTACAGGAAGATATTTAGAAAATTAAATATAATATATTTACTTGGTAAATAAATAAATAAAAATATGTATGTATAAATTTGAAATATATATATATATATTGAGAAAATAACACATGATTGACAGATTGACAAAACACATTTAAATCTTGAAGGTGCAAAATTATATGTTTTTTCTTTACTTCTATTGGGAACTTGTATTGGGAACAATCTTTTGTGGGTGTGTGTGTGCAGTAGTTTGCTTAAGGGCCTTCTTTTGGGAACTTACTGTTATTGGGAACTTGTGTTGGGATTGTTTTTTTGTGTAGCAATTAGTTTAAGGGCATTTTCTTGTCAATTTGTTTTTGTTGTCGATTTTTGTGGTGTAGTTTATTTGTGTAGCAGTTTGTTTAGAAACCTTCTGTTGTTTTTTTCTGGAGAAAATACATTTACTGTTTTTTTGGTGATTTTCTCTTGGGGAATTTGGGTTCATAGAATATATGGATGGTGTGGTTTGGTCTTTCCTCTATATTTTTTTTTGTTCATGTAGTTTTTCTTTTTTCAGATATGCAGTATTGTATTGTTCTGCAATGCCTATTAATTCGTTTGATTCAGAAAGTATATTTAAAAATGCATTGCTTTTAAATAATCAAATTTGTCGGTTATAGTTCCTTTTGCAAAGGGATTGTGGTCGGTATAAAGCAAAAAACTTGCATCTGCTTTCTGTGAAACATGTTGACATATGAAATTGAAAACATGTTGACATATGAAATTGACAATTGTTTTCAATATCTTAGATTTGAAATTTCATTCTCATAAATCAGAGGCCAAAGTATAAATATTTAATATCTCTATCATACCAAATTAAAAAAAAAGACAACCAATATATATTTATCTTCAGAAAATAACTCTATATATACTGGAATATATTGTTTATTTTGAAAAAATAATAGTTTTGATCAAGTTTGATCAATTTTGATCAAGTTTGATCAAATTTGAAAATATTTATTTTGTTTAAATATTTTTGTTTTTTTTGCTTTATTTTGCCATAAACTAGAAAAATAAAAATATTACAATTACATATTATTTGGTTCAAACAAAATCATTTAAATAAATGTTTTACATATATTTATATGTAGTTCTGCCTGCGGACCGAAAACCGCGCTCGTAAAACGCACGTTTTTGAATATCGCTATTTTGGGGTGGGGTGGGGTGGGGAGGTGGGGGATGTTAACGTACCTTGTACTTCGTACATGATCCATTGCTACGCTGCTGAGATCTCTGGGATCGTTTACTACGTTACATGTTGCTACGCTGCTGATGGGGTGGGGTGGGGGGGTGGGGGATGTTCACGTACCTTGTACTTCGTACATGATCCATTGCTACGCTGCTGAGATCTCTGGGATCGTTTACTACGTCACATGTTGCTACGCTGCTGATGGGGTGGGGTGGGGGGGTGGGGGATGTTCACGTACCTTGTACTTCGTACATGATCCATTGCTACGCTGCTGAGATCTCTGGGATCGTTGTCATTGTTTTGTGGCGCTCTGCAGGGACGACGGCCGCTGCTGGTCTGGGACATAGGAGTAGCGCGAGCTCAGAAGGAAGGTAAACCACCTCCTGCAAGTTATTCTCGGATCAAAAAATGTGGCTCATTTGAACATCTGAAATCCACTGCAAACAACAAGCAAACCCTGTTGCTGACTGATGGTGCCAAATGTTACCCAAAAATGGCCTGAGAAACCAATACGTTGCATGAATATGTTGCACACAACCGCGGTGAGTTTGAGAAGACAATCTACCGGCGAAATGAGAAGGTCAGTTGCCATACTGGAACCATTGATGCTGCATGGTCTGCTGTTAAGAACTTCATCCCCAATTCGTTGAGTTCAAAAAGCAAAGATCTTCTCTTGTATGTCAATGGACACAGTCGCCTCCAGAAAAAAACTATCTCGACGCTGAAAGGCCTGCTCTAACAAAGGATGAAAAAGGCTCATGCACATTTTGCCAAAAACCCACACGAAACGCAAATTTGGCCAAATTTGCGCGACCAAATTTGGCCAAATGTTGCCTATCAAACTGTGTGTTTCGCTGCAGCGAAAACAATATTTTTTTTGAACACGTGCATTTTGTGAGCGCGGTTTCCGGTCCGCCGGGTAGTTCATGTTTTGCAAAACAAATATAGTTCAATGAGTTGGTTTTCAAGTACCAGTAATGTTTGCTACATTTTATTATAAGATATTATAAGCCATTTTAGTGCAATAATAAACTGTGAAATTAATAATATAATATGTATAACCGTGTTTTGTTTATTACTACCTTTGTTTTTACCACTAAAACAATTTGATTTTAAAAACATATTTAGTTCAAAATGCTTACATTTTAAGCATACTATATATACTATATTTGGTTCCATCATAATAAAAAATAAGAATGCAATATTTTTGAGATCTTTTATTAGCTCAATATGTTTACATGTGTATATATCAATATGAATTACAATATATGAAACATACCACAAATTTGATTTTCAAATAGTGTGTTGTAGTCTTGGAAATTTTGATTTATTTTGTGTTTTTGATTAATTTTGTGAAAATAAGGTAGATATTTTGTGAAAATTAAATGTTTTCACATGTGGCTCCAATGCCCAAAACATAAAACAATAAAAACAATAAAATGCCAAAAACATGTTTTGCACCTGCAGCTGTTTTTGGATCAAAGCAAATTGAAAGCAAAAGTGCTTTTGTGCTTGGAAAAGTCACCATTTTTGGGTGTCAAGTGGTACTATGGCACCAAAAAAAGTTATGAAAACAATGAAGAAGAAAAAGGACTTGGAAAAGTCTCCCAAGAAGAAAGGCTTGGAAAAGCCTTCCAACCAGAGAGGCTTGGAAAAGTCATCTGGAAGAAAGGGTTTGGAAAAGCCCATGAAGAAGCCTGGCTGCAATGATGGAGGTGGTTTGGAAAAAAACCAGGA